ATTAAGATTTTGCATGTGGAATTTCAAAATTTTCTGATGCACAAAAGTATTTTCAATCTTTAAATGAAAATTACTTTACATTATAGATAGGCAACGTGTGAAAAGAATAAAAAAAAAAAAAGGCACGAGAAAAACATTGCTTTACAAACTTTAAGACTTAATTTTAAACAATTTATATTTTGAGTATAACAGCATTGTAATGTTTATTGATAATCTGCGAAACATTTCCATAACATACTCTTACTAATTTAAAAGTTTATAGTATGAAAACTATAACAAGCACAAAATGGTTAGGAGGTCGGTCCCAGGGATCCAGCCCATGCCGAAAAAAGGGTTAAAGCTAATAAATATTTATTATTTACACATTACAATTATGGAGTGATTAATTACATGAAGTACAGGTTTTTAACAAACTTTAGTATCTCAGAGTAAGGTTTGTGTCTCAGATCAATGTAATACATTACTGACCTTAATGGCACAGTATTTTGAGTGTGTACAAGTAGTGACAAAATACACGTGTGTTTGCAAACACAATCATTATATTTTTTTACCCCCTTATAGCTTTGATAGTCAGGATATTTTCAATTTTTCACAACAAAAGAAAGATTAGAGCCGAGTGGTTTAATCTATCAGAAGCAACTAATCAAATAATGTCACAAACTAATGAATTAATTAAAACTGTGACTATATCGTTTGCCATAAAAATAATCAACTAATCGATATTAGTGATTCTGATCAGTACTAACTGATTATTTCAACCATCCAATCGCTGTTACGTTTGTTGTTAAACACAAATGGACTATCCCAGCTCTGCTCAAAGTTGACCTTACAAGCTTTTGTTTTAAATATTCAAGTTTGTACAGCTTTGTTGATTCAAGAGTCTCGGGTTCCATTGCCTTGTCTCCCACTTTTGAACTGCTGACAAGAGAGAAGGCAATCGTCTTACATCACCCATAACCCACTTTTTCTTAATTGCTGACTAAAGAGAAGGTAGCTGGCTCGAAGCACCCACCAAAAACCTTTTTTTAGGTTTCTATATATACCCTGTACTAAATGATTAATCAATCAGCAAATACTACTAATCTCTGTTTAAGATTATTACAATCAACTTAATATATATAAACTAATAGCTGGTGCCCCACAGCTAACCAACACTTAAGTTTATTATTCAGTTGTTTTAACCTGCAAAAGTTATCCCATTTTAGTTATAACAGGAAGTTCACGATTAAAATTCAAAGAGTTTATATACATACGATTCTCTGTGTACAACGTTACATATTATTGATTGCAAACTTATTAATTCATTTACAACTGGAATGATCTATGAAGTGTAGCAAGACCAATAGATAGAAATATTTGGAGTAACAACATTTCAATTATCTCATTAATAATGAAAATATAACAGTTTCACAAGAACTGTCCGACATTTGATTTTTGTTTAATTATATATCATATGAAAAGTGTTCATTTTCTCAAAAAATATCCTTATTTAAATACCTTTCAACAATGTCTTCCACTTCATCAATATCCATTGCCATCTTCTTTACAGATGTCATACACTGTGTTGATAAAGTTTTAAAACACTGGGCCTTGATACAGTTGTGAGTAGACTCATCCCAATCTGGCAAATGTCTAACATAGCTCCAAGCTAGCATGACATAGTCTACAGCAGCTCCCCACTGTTGGCTCTCTATTAGTTGTCGTCCTTGCTGTATACATGCTTTCTAAAAAGAAATAGTTTTTAGCTCTACCACACCAAACTGGACACTAAAAAAACAAACAGAAAATTACCTACATCTATCTTTTTTTACTGTACCTCAAAACTACAAAATCCGGCCTCAAAATCTATTACAAATAGAACCATCAACTAAATCAGATCCAATACTGGAACATAGAAAAAAACAAAAGCATCTCAAAATACAACTTTTAATGGGATCAATACATCAAAAAGTTAATATAAGTATATATTAAACATGTTCGAAACTTGAGGTAAGTTAACAGAAATAGTCAAGTTTGGTTCTATAAAAATTGAAAGTTTAGACATAACTGATTTGTATATATAGCCTTTTGAATTCAGATTACACTATTATTATATTACTTGCATAGACAACAGCTAACAAATAATCTGACAGATTCAAATATTAACATCTCAGCTGGTAAGTAACCTGCACACAGACTAAACTTTTCATTTACTTCACTAAATATAGTGTCTACACACTGAGAAAGTGTGTGTGTTAAGTATAAAACTACACAATGAGCTATCTGTGCTATGCAGATGGCAGGTATCTAAGCCCCGTTTTTAGCATTACAAGTTCCATGATTTACCTTTGGCAAATGAAGGACAGAAAGTGTGTGAAACAAATGTAACACGTTAGTACGAAAAAACTTGCTTAAAATAATTAAAACCTGTGCATTCCAACATCACCTGTATAAAAGTGTGCATTTTTTTATGTGCAAATATTCAAAAATGTAAAAATTAACTATTTACTTACATATGACAATTTCTAATTATCTTGTAAGGACATTATCCTTTCTTTTTTTCATACATTGAATTTTATTACAATAGAATATTGTATAATTGTCAGCATGAGTTTAAAAAAATCAGTATACTGAGGAATATATAAATTCATGAAGAATTAATAAATTTTTTACCAATTTCCCTCTGCTGCAAATATAATTTATACATACTAGGAAAGTGGAATTTTTTCTAGTTAAATTTGAATAATATTAACTAAAAATCCAAAGAATTACATTGTGAACTGTTATACCATCAAATTCTGTTTCACTTTATTTCATCTATACCAACCTTAAAAGCTTCTAGATGAGTGCGAACTCTACGATAACAAAAATCATCTCTATTAGAGCCCCACCTCGTGTTTGGGAAAGACTTGTATATGTTACGCTGGAGGTTATTTAGATTTTTCTCTAGGGGTTGAAGATCTGGGCTTGGCAAACGTTCCCCAACAACCTAAAATTCCCGAAAATGTAAAACATTCATAAATTTGAACATAAAAACAACACTTAAACTGTGTGGGAGAAAATAAATAACATAATACAACACACACATATTATTCTTTCAATTTTCCCGTACTGTAAAAATACCACTGAATATTTTAACACAAATTTTCTAATCGTAATCTGACTTTAATATTTTAATTTTTATCCTCACTGACTAATATGCAGTAAAATGTTTTTAAGTATTTCACAGAAGACTAATAAATAAAATGCATGTTTTAGTTTGTTAGTTAATCTAAAGTTTGTTTGTAATTTAGCACAAAGCTACACAATGGGCTATCTGTGCTATGCCCACCACGAGTATCGAAACCCGGATTCTAGCGTTGTAAGTCCGCAGACATACCGCTGTGCCACTGTGGGGGCAGTTAATCTAAAGACAAAACAATAATTGGATAGCTTACAACTATTGCAACAGTACATCTTTAAATATAGAATAATAATGTTGTTTTAATACGTTATTGTACAACATGTCTACTAACATTTACATCTGCCTTTTGTCTACATCCATACACATTAAGATAGTAAGCTACGTGCATGTTTTCAGGACAGACAAAAACTGATTATTTTAATAGATAGTTATATAAACAAGTTTTTGTTTCAAATAAAAACTTAAACTACACAATAATTAACTGTACAAGTGAATACGGTGGCCAGAGAACCTCCTTCTATTAACCCGTATATCTCATCCATATTATGAACCCACATCAATACCTATAAGCATACGTTGTTAAAACTGTATTATGAAACCAATCAAACAATCATCAGTTTGCACGTTACCTTCTTCAGGTCAGGAATAGAAGTCATTAGTTCCTGAAGTAGTTCAATCAATTGGTTATGACTTAAAGCTTTTAGTGCCACATCAACGTTGATCCCTGGAGGGGTTTTTCGTTGAATTTTTGTTTTTTTGGACTGGGTCATAGTCTGAAAAAATTAAGTGTTATCGTGATATTAAACACCGGTAAATGATGGTGTTATGATGATAACCGTTGCATTTTACCAATTGGAAGAGTTCATAACTGGCCTATATAATATATACGTACACAATTTACATAAAAAGGACATACTAACAGACTTGTATACTATACTCAAACGATATGCCACGTATTAAAACACATAAGGCTAGTATTATATCAAAAACTGTTGTGTAAAGAAACAATTACCTTTGTCAGTGTTGGTACCTTTATACAAGTCCTTGAATTAGTGTTGTTTCTCAAGACACGAGAGGAAAACTTAGACTTAGAACTTTCATCTAAATGAAAACTTTTTATAGTGTGATTTTTTTGCATTTCTGATAGATGCTCTTTTTCAGGATGTAGAGACCATGTTACAATGGAACGAGCCTAACGTCGATTTATTCTGTTATCTTTTATACAACTCACATAAATATCACTTTATGGGAGTTACATAAAATTAAATAAAGTATATTAATCGTAAACTCAAGATATGTGCCGTTTCATAAACAAAGATTATCAGCCATGCTCAAAATTAATAATGTTGAGGTGGTTTCTATACCCATATATCCTAGTTTTAAAACTTTGCTCTTTTAATACAAAATTAAAAAAGCTCCAGGGACAAAATAAGATCAAAAATTGGTGCTAAAAAAACAACAACACATTCACAAATGAATAATCCCCGAGGTCACATTAATTAATGGTAAAGATTTCAGCCAGAGCTGAGTTTCAATAACTAAAGTACGGTACATATATTCTAGATGTTTTCAAACTTCAGACACTCACTCTTTTGCTTCTCGAAAACCCCAAGAAACCACTTGTGTCACTATCTGGAGTATCTTGAGATAGATTCAAACGTTTTCGTGGAGAAGTGCGGGTGGGGGTTGCCAAAATCTTAGTGGAAGAAGGACTTGATTTTTGTGGAGTCCTTGATTTATTGGGAGATTTGGATGGTGTTTTCGGGGGTGTTTCTCCACGCATCTCGGCTTCAAGAAAAAATATTAAACAAGTATTGTACTTTTTAAGTTATTTAATTTTTACTATTTGTTGTCTTTGAATTTTTTTTTAATTTAAATCATGTCTTAGCTACATCTAATAAATCAATGGATGTTACTTAAATTTCCAAACAAAATTAGAAAAGTCAAGAAGGATACAATGAAAAAAAAAAAAATGTTCAAAATTTAGATTAACATCTTTATTTATAAATGTTCATACTGTAGTTATAATGCAAATTTAACAGAAAAATATAATTTTTTTTTTCAGACAAATCTGTAAAGCCAATCATAATAAACACGTAACGCTCGGAATAATTAAGACAAAAAACCAGATAATGCCATTATTAAACTAATCAACTCTTTAATTTCTACATGAAACGTGGGGCAGACATAATTGTAGAATTGCTGTTTTTTATGGTTTCTAATCTGGGATAAAATCCATTTTTTTTATAAAATTGTTGTTTAATAGTGATTGTAAATATTTTGCAGAATTAGTAACAATATTATTAAACACCTTAGAAACGTGGGGCAGCCAAATTAGAAGAATTATACAGGTTACAAAGTTTATAAAATATAGCAATGTTACTGAACTCAAATTGGGAACACCTTACTCGTACACCTCGTTTTAAAAAATGTACGTGTATATAAAACTTTAAAAAGAAAAGATGCAATTCAATTATTTTCTCTAGATAGAACCTACATCTGAGTCTAGGGGTTCCTTTAGGTGAAGAGAAACAGTCCATAAGGAAACTCTGTGTCACCTGTCTTCGTCCACGTTGACGAATTACTTCTTCTTCTGGAGAAGTTGGTGTGGGTAACCAATTAAAGTTAATGTTGTGTTCGTTGTTGGGAGTTCGTACTATTTTAAGAAAAGAACCCTCTTTCAGCTCTAGAAAAATACATTTGTAAATAGTTCTACACTTGGAGCAAGGGTGTAGCAATCAGGTCTGGGACTAGTGAGGCTCGAGCCCCCAGTTTATAAAATATTTTATTAATATAAAAATTTTAAATACTATTTAGTATTTCATAATTTTGAATTCAAGTAAAAAAATAGATGTAATTTTGAGAATTAGATTTATCCCAGTTTATAGTTATCTAAAGTATAAAAGGCACGTTTATCTAAAGCTTTTTAAAATTTAGCTCCTACTAATAGTTTCGTACCTTGTAATATTCTAATAAGAAACATTCATTTAGATAAATAACTACTAGTAAAAGCTGAAATACTGTTCTAATAAACTTAATGTTGTTTACCCTCAATTATGTAAAATACTCCACAGAAATATTGAAGGAGTAATTGTTACATAAAACTTACTGTCACCTTAACTCTTGATAAATGTGTTTAAGTTTATTCTACATACTTAAAACATGAAAACATAAACCATAACTAGTAGTTTTATATTTCAACAAAATTCACGAGTTTCTGAATATTATCTGCCATAACTACAGCAGAAACTCAGCGATTACATGCACATTATGGCTAATTATGATATTATTTTTAACTTTTGAAACTAGTCAAAACGAAACTTTATAAAGTGTTTGGAATAAATCCATTAGTAATCAACATGACCCTATTTGGCATGATTATCATGCTGTTGACTTTAGAAAAGGGTTGAAAACTTGGCAGTAGTTTAAACTGAAGAAAACTTTTGTAAAAAAAAAAAAAAAAAAAGACTCGCTACTAACTCTGGAACACCTTCAAACAGTAATTGGAGTTTAATTCAGTATTCTGACAATGAAACTTCAAAACTCCAAAGAATCTTTCTGCATGCTCCAAAGGTTTTAGACAACTTAAAACAAAATATTATTAGGAATTATTCATGAAAATGACCCTTAATAAAGTTTTTAGTTCACTTTTCAGACCACAAAATTAAAATTAAAAAAATTTTAAGTGATGATTTTCGATATTTTAACCGTTAATACGGTGTATCCAATTTTTATTACAGATTAATAGTCTATATATCAATGTCTACTCGGTTTCTCACATTACTGGGATCATAGTTATAAAATACCCGTTATGGTTATACCACACATTACTTGTTAGTGGTAACTCGCACACTAAAAAAAAAAAACGGTTAATATAAAAAAAGTGATTAATGAAACACATTACTCATTGAACAATATTTACCACAATTTACTTAACTAACAAAAAAAAAAAATACCCAACCCTCTGAACTTCCTTGAGAACCACTTCGAGTTATTTCTCGTAAAGCTTGTCTCCTTGCAGCCATAACCTTCTACAAACTCCGGCCTTGACTTTGGCTTACTTTACAGTTTGCCCAATTAAAAGGTAACTTTCAGCAGGTCCTAGTAGAATGTTACTGATGTCCTGTACATAATAAATTGGAAATATTTAATTTGGAATAAATACATATAATGATATATCATTAATAAAACAGTTGCAAAATTAACCTAAGTCAGTACAATTAGTTTGAGAGAGACATGATGAAAAAGAAAGCAAATAATATTTTAAACTGCAATTTCACTAAAATTTAGGGCACCACGTTACCCTTCGTGTGGACAATAACCTTTTCTACAAAAGACCTTGCTTCCATGCACAATCACCTAATCAGACGAGGAAAGTGGTCTGCGCGCTAAGAACCTTGCGGAAATTCGCGGGTCTGGAATATGAAACACTTTGATTGGTGCTTACTTCTGAAAAAGGTGTTGGTGAATTAACAGACTTGGCCAAGTTCAATAGATGGCGCAAAATATATACAAAATTACGAACACATCTGTTTCGTCTATTTTTCTTTTTTATCGCTTTTTTTTGTCTTGTGAGTACTTATTTAAAAATGTACATACATGTAAAATGTATATAACTAAAGCACCTAGCAGCTTACACTTCAAAAACTATTTAGCTATTACGCATGATACACATAATAACACACAAAAAACAACAACATAAAATTACGTATCAAAACGTTAACATTAGTGGACAAAATACACTAAAGTATTACTTTAGTAGATGACCAAGAATGAAGGAAAAAACAATAACTATAGACGTTTATTCACAAGAAAAACGTGGGTGATGTATATGAATAAGAAACACACAAACCTAGAAACAATAAAAAGTAAACGTTTTTACAATATACTACCCATTTGTGGGTCAGCGGACCTACAACACTAAAATGTATGGCTCGATTCCCCACGGTGGAGAGAGTACAGAAAGGTTATGATATGGCTTTACGCTAAAACAGACAAATACAATACGCTCCCAGTATTTTCTTCGTCCTCATATTTGAACCTTGGCTATGACTTTGAATCACTATCCACTTGTAGAAATAATTGTTTTAAACCTATAGATGTTCTTTCGAAATAATTAACACGAAATGTTTAACTCCCCAGTGGCTCAGCGGTATGTCTGCGGACTTATATTATTAGAAACCGGGTTTCGATACCCATGGTGGGCAAAGCACGGATAGCCCTTTGTGTAGCTTTGTGCTTAATAACAAACAACAACAACAATCCATGTATGTAAGACCAACCAATAAAATTTATGCAGTTAGCTGAAAAGCGATGTAATTCCCAAAGAGGCATTTGATGTCACAAATGAAAAAAAGCTGCTAATTCCACGCTTCAACAACTAGAAATAATATATCTTAATAAGACATATTCACGTAAGAAAATTTGAGTTTTTCTGCGGGTGATCTGCATGAACTTAGTCACCTTTGAAAAACGAAAGTCGCTAACTTTTACCAATCCTCTAATTTTAAGAATTGTTAGATACCACAATAATTGTTCCGTAAAGCTTATATCTGCTTAGTCCAATTTTTAAGTTATGCCCTACTGTAGTTAGGTCAAACTCATATCAAAAGGTGATACAGAAGCATGTACAATTTAGTATATGACTGGGACTTTCGTCCCTTAATTATGCACATTGGAAATTATTGCTGATGTAAATAATCTAAGGACTGTGAGATACTACACTAGGACCTGGTCTGATCTTACAGTGTGGTGTCATCATTCTTCTGTCTCCTATATTCAACTTGTATAGATGTGCTTCTTACTACTACAACAGCCAGTTCCTGTCAGTTAACAAGGAATATATAAGCCAGTCAGAATAAGTAAAAACCTAGAACTTTATCATTTTATGAATAAAGACACTTGTTTTATTTAGGCATTTGTGTTTGTTTGTTTTTATTTTACTGTCCTTGTTCATTTTATTTTGTACATAATATTTTCAGAACCTACTGTACTGTAGATATGTAATACTTTTCTGTTGAAAAATCAGTGTACTTATATATCAAAGCAAATTGTTAAGGTACAGCATGGTGCTATGACCAAAGGATTTGTTTATTGTGGAATATATATATTCTGAATATGATTTCTTTCCATCTCACTCTATGGTTTACAAAAGTTTATAAACCATAATCGTAGAAGGAGACGTACTAAAACTATGTAGCACTTATGGTGGAGAAGATGAAAGTGTATTTAAGGTAGGAACGTGATCTATAAATGTGGCAAGAACTGGATGAATCATTTCCTTGGACAAAGAACTTTCTTCAGCCATGATGAGAGCTATGTCTGTAATATTGATTCATCTTTGGAGTCAGGAGGTTCATGGATGGCTAAATGATGACATGCTAGATGTGAGGGGAAAATATTTCTCAAATTTTGTCTTGATTATGTCATTCATCAACCATACATAGTTATCTCTTTCTTATCTTCGTACAGGAATGAAGGCTTATCTGGCCAAATTTTGAAGTCATAGAATACATGGAAGGCAGCTAATCAGCACCACTCATTGCCAAGTCTTGGGTTACTCCTGTTAGAGCAAATAGTGGAATTTTACTGTCGCTCATAACGCATGACCCCAAAGTGTGGAAAGCAATTTATTATTATTGTTTTCTTGGTAACAGGCCGTAAACACCGGAATTATGGTGAATACAAGTACAACCTTTTTATAGAAATTTCACTAGTTTGTTTTACAAAATATAGTCACGTTATTACAGCCAAGCTGCAGTTCTTTAGCTTAATCATCCAGTGCCAAGCAGAATAGTGGACTGCACATGTGCATTCTGAGAAGGAGAATGTGTTAATGCTGAACATGCAAATGTTGTTCTATCGTCTACTTTAGATACACTCCAGTGCATTGTAGCTATCTAGTGTGGGGATAGAGCTGATGTGTGGAACACACTATTTTTGTTTGGAAAGCAGGCTACATTTGCGTTTACAGTTATATATCTGAGTTCAGCAGCTATACCAGTTCTAATGTTATTAGCATTTAATATTTGGCTACCACCTGGAACGGAGGCAAAGGTAATGCAATGGAGCCAAGTGTTGCAGCTACTGTACCATGCCCAAACATGAACATTGAGCTTACAGAACACCTGAAGTCTTTAGTTCGTGTATCTGACACAAATATTTGAACTCAATGACCCACTTAAGAAGTTTAATGATGTGTTTGTTGGATCAGATGACCAATGGGTTTGAACAACAACTGCATGTCATCACACAGACACGGGTAATGCACATCTGATAAAACCAAAAATCAGGGTAGTAGCAGGAATTAATGAACCATCTTCTGAAAGAGAGTTCTTGATGATTGTCATAAGAAGGAGGGAATGCGAGGGTTCTTGCATACTTTAGGCAAGTGAATGCAATAAGAAGAAGGCACCCGTTAGTTCATTACACTGATTCTAGTTTCCAGGTAGTGGAAATTGGAACTGAATTATAAAAGGAGACCCAAAACTGTTTTCATGGAGGAACTGAATGATAAAAGTTGACCAAAACTGTTTTCACAGATGATAAACATTGTACTAATTATGCAATGTGCCATTTGGTAGCCCCAGTGGCACAGCGGTATGTCTGCGGACTTACAACGCTAAAAACCGGCTTTTGATACCCGTGGTGGGCAGAGCACAGATAGCCCATTGTGTAGCTTTGTGCATAACTACAAACAAACAGCCATTTAGTATGTGTGACGTGCGTGTATGACTGTGAAACTCACTCTTAATAGGCCTGTAAAGGAGAAAGATGGCTCATCTATGTGGATGGCATATTGATCTTTGTGACATCTTTTGACTATCGAAATAAATGATCTAAAACGCTATTTATCCTTGGAATACTGCTGCAATATTAAAAATAAATAGCAAATTTGTTTGGCATGTAATTCAGGGAGCAAAGCTTAATTTTATTTTTAGGCAAAGTAATTCTTCTGTGATCGTAATTTTCTTCTTCAGAATTTCGATTTTTACTGTTATCGTTTGATATTTATTTAAAAGACTAAATATTACACTTCTACCAAATGGAGTAGCATGATTGTGCGTGAGGGGAATACCATTATTTTATGACTTAGTTCAGTTGTTTGTCTGTTTTGTTTTTAAGCACAAAGCTACATAATGGGCTATCTGTGCTCTTCTCACAAACGACATTGAAACCCAATTTATACCATCATTTTATGAATTAGTTCAGTTGCTTGTCTGGTGTGGAGCATATAGATACATTATGGACTATCTGTGCTCTGCCCACTGCGGGTAGCGTTATAAACCACAGACTTACTGCTGAGCCACAAAGGGGCCAGTTGCAACGGACTGATAACAATATTAACTTTTCAGCAAAATTCCCAAATTGATATAAAACTATTTAATTTTAGGGAATATTTTGACAGACAATATTGGAACTTTCTTGCAGTATCCGTTCTGTCTCAAAATTATCTAGTATTTGCTAGACTGATTAATTTCTTTCATACACATAAATTGGGGAAAATTTTAAGCTTGTTAATCGCTGGTATTTTTTTTTATGGTAGATGAATTAATTTGGTTGTAGCTGGTCAAAACTATTCATCTTTAGCATGGTCTTTTGGTCAAAACTATTCATCTTTAGCATGATCTTTTAGTCAAAACTATTTATCTTTAGCATGGTCTTTTGGTCAAAACTATTCATCTCTAGTATGGTCTTTTGGTCAAAACTATTTATCTTTAGCATGGTATTTTGGTCAAAACTATTTATCTTTAGCATGGTCTTTTAGTCAAAAACTATTCATCTTTAGCATAGACTTTTGATCAAAACTATTCATCTTTAGCATGGTCTTTTAGTCAAAACTATTCATCTTTAGCATAGACTTTTGGTCAAACTATTCATCTTTAGCATGGTCTTTTGGTCAACTATTCATCTTTAGCATAGACTTTTGGACAAAACTATTCATCTTTAGCATAGACTTTTGGACAAAACTATTCATCTTCAGCATGGACTTCGAAAAAAAATGAACTGCTTCAAAATATTTTAAATTTTGTTGTTCGAGAGATGGATAAACCAGTAACATATTTCCTCAACAGGAAGCTTAAAATCTATATCACTCACTTAAACTATAGTCAATTTTTTTTTCATTCGTTTAAGATTAATTTCGCATCATTTTCAGATAACGACATTGAAATATAAAGTTGACAAGATGCAATAAATCACGAATTAAAATAGGTATTTTTTTGCCAAAATTTAAACTCATCTGAAACTACGCCCATTGAACTGGGTGCAAGTGAAGACACACGATTTAACACAGTCTGAACAACATATGGACTGAAAAACGTAGCAAAACTTGTCAACTGTGAAATTATTTGGATGAAACAATTTAGGCCACGAAAATATTTTATTCTTCATATCAAACACATATGTATATATCTGTTGCAAAATCGTTCTGAAACCACTGGACTGAGAGTAAACCACATAGGT